GGTTTCCTTTGAGGATCGTATCTCCTTTCGCGAATTGAGCGAACCAAAAGTGAACGGTCCTGATGGTAGTGGTGTCCTCCTTCAATGCACTGCTGATGTTAGGGACAGCTGCCGTGGCTCCAGTGCCGCGGGGCCACTGATAGAAGATGATGACCCGAAGATACTCCTGTGAAACTGACATCGTAATTAAACCCAGGGAAGAGCAGGCGCCCTCACACACCTCTTGCAGGAAAGCTCTCAGAATGTTCTACAAGCATGGCATATTACCTCATGCTCAAGCATCGAGAATCAAAAATTGTAAGCTTTCAAAGGAAACACTGACAGGACTTTCCTTCCAACCTATATTTCAACGTGGGGGTGGAAGCGGCTGTGGTGGGGTATTGCCGTCTTGTGAGAACTGTGATAAGTCTCTGTCCAGCACAGGACGATACAGACACTTGTCTCAAATGAAAATATCTCCAGGAAAACGCATCCTGCTCCATGTTAAACGCAGTCATGTTCTTCCGAATCTAGCATGCGAAATGTAAAAGATATTTCACAGTCCGATGAAGGACCCCTGCTGCAACTAATCCCTTCGTTAGGGTCCCACCTCCAGGCTTACACTTGAGTCCGAAGAACGCGTCGTACGGTTTTTTGCTGCCTATAGGGGAGGTGAGAGGGGCTAGGCATTGGCGCGTCGCTGGCCGGTTTCTCATCAATCCTTACCGCTTGGCTTGTTCAACAAGTGGTAGGGGACGGGCTGAGCCAGCCAGACTTCAGACTTCGCCAGCCAGACTTCCCTCCCCCATTCAGACGAGTCATCGTCCACAGAGTATAAAACAGTATGTGCCAAGTGGGCGTGTAAATGTGCTGAAAAGCATGTCAGACAGGTAGTGCTAGAGGCGGTAAAAAATGGAAATTCTAAGTTCCTCGGGTCAATGATTAATCAGGTGTGGTGCGTTACGGTAGCGCATTGGCTCGGACTGTGCAATCTTTCTTGTGAAGCATAACGCCAATATCTCCGCCCTATGCAATGCGTCAGTAAGAGCACATAGCGTACTGTTTGTGATGTCACTTAGACTTAAAGCGTTTATTGTCACTTTAAAGTATTTATCGAAGGTAACACTTCAGATCTTATTTATGTCGAGGCAATATTCTTCTATTATTAGTCACATCCAGTTGCTTGCTTGTAGTCGGCACACCACTGGCGATATTTCTCCTCACCTCCATTTTCGAGTATATGTTCAAATCGACTCCGATATTTCTCCAAAAAGTAAGCCAGTAGTACTCGATGAACGTACAAGTATTGCTGAAATGAGTGATTAGCAGGTCTGGTAGTCATGTGGTCAGCACTTGAAGGAATACATCTCGAACTTCTTCTCTTACTCCAGAATTAGCCTGGTGCAGGTCTTATCGTGGGCATGGGCCACTCGATATGTAAGGCAGTCTAACCCACATACGCTGTACCCAGTTTGGGGTGGGCGACAATACAATCGCAGTTCGCCGACTTGTGGACGCCGCGTGCGACGTTGCACCCAAAAATGACGATATTTCTGGGTCGTAGAGGACGAAAACGTACAAAGTATAACCGGAAAAAAGCCATAAGTGTTTACATTATCGTAATCTGAAATCCAGGTGCTCCGCAACGGCAGGCTAACGTAAATCAAGAAAGCGCCGCGTCTATTGTAGCGCGATAAGGAGCGGCAAATCAGATAGTCTCGGCCGTCTCCCCTACTTCTACTCAAGAATTCGTGGAAATCCGTCGCCTCTATTGATTCACAGTTGCTCGCCCTCCTCTCAGGAAAGCTCCCGAAAAGGGTGTCGTACTATGTTTAGTGATTCTGGTGGTCTGTGCACGTAGTCGTCCCTCGTCGTCTGGCCACTCTTCCGAGTGCACAGTATTTCTTCGCGGATTCTCGCGTAACGTTCGAAAGAGACTGACAAGTCATTCGGAAGCGCCATATTCATATTTCGGCACAGCAGCCCCTAGCTCCGGTGCGGCGGCATGGCGTTCCCCATGTCCACTCTCCTCTCCCCTGAATACAGTCTAGTTTGCCGCGGATGCTGTGGAGGGTCAAGGGCTAGGTTTTCGCGGGCGTCAACCGTTCTACAATCGTGGAAGTAGGCAAGGCGACTCTGATACACCAGCATTCACGGCGAGCAAGAATGCACGTGCGTCTCTGCCTCCCTTTCTTCTCGACGCTCACAGCAGCCAAAGGGAAAGGGAGAGGGGGGGGGGGGAAGACGACGTTCGAGAGCACCCCTTTTTGTCTTTCGATATGCACCAGCAATTGGCTAAATGCTTGATCCCAGCTAGGGCTCGAAACTGATTCTCCGAATTAGCACACTGTCCCGGATCGTGGAGAGTGTAGGATTGAGCCCTGGCATAGCTTTTGCAAAGCAACTGCCCAGCGAACTGCGTGACAGACATCAGTTACCAGAAGGGAACGCACTGGATGTCCCCTTATCTTTGTTGTTTTGGAAGGAAATTTGTCATTTGCGCCGCATTGTTTGTCATTGCGCCGCATTGTTTGGGCAACCTGTAATGTCAAAACAGTTTGGAGACGGTCAAGCACCCCTCCCCTTCCCAGACCTCAGTGCGGTAATAGAAGTATGCACTTACGAATTCATTTTGTATCGAAAATGGCCGCTGAGTACGGATTTCCTTCAGTAAATCGCTCATAGCCACACAATCTTCCTACAACAAAGCCATCAATACGGGCAAAAGATCTGATTGATGAGAAAGCTAACTCACCCCGTTCTGCATTTTCTCTGTCACATAAGAAATGGCTACGATTGTTCCTGTTCTGCCAATACCTGCTGAGCAATGCACAATGACTGGAGCAGTCGAGTCACGAACTCTATGGAGGAGGTTCTGGAAAGGTCTATGGTTAGTTATTTTCTCATTATTTTTATTTTTTATATTTCCGCCCAGATTTTTGCATCATACTCTTAATTTTGCAGACAAAACGTAAAATACAAATAAGAGTATGCTAATGCCGATAGAGCAGTGACTTTCGTGCTAGTGCAGTACAGTAGGCACTAAAACTGTGAAGTACCAATAAGTCGGCGAAATCCGCATGCCGCAGCGCCACCGCACGCGTCACATGTATGCAGACTCATTTTAGTTTTTCACATTATATTTGAGGAAAAGAAAGTGAATACTCACAATCGCTGTGAACTTTGTTGCAGGAACACCCCGATCTGGCCAGTTTTCCCATTGGAAATGTTGGATAACTTTCGAAACATCTTTTCCAGCTTCTTTATAGTCCAGCTTGAGTTTGGAGACTCGAACGAAGCTGTCGACCTAATGTGCAGGAATGACAGTAAAGAAGAAAAGCATTCAGGTGGTCAGAAAATCAGCAAATGGCTGCTCAAGCTGGAATTATCGTCTTGGGATCTGGAGACGATAATTCCAACTTGAGCAGCCGTTTGCTCGAGAGGAGAAAAAAGGTGTGAATACGGACAGGATGGAGGAAAAAAGCTCTGCTCTAGCGGTGAACTCCGCTTCCTATTTGCCTCCGCTGACATTGATGGCTCCCTTTCTAATAACTCAACGGCTCGTATATACTCATCATCTAGGTTAAAGGTAAAAAAAAACAGTTTAAAAATTTTTTTCCTTCGTTATCCTCTCCAAACGTCATCACGTCGCCGACTTCATGCGGCCAGTACTGTTCGCATTTGTTTTTATCCTGAGAAAAACCTGGTGAATACTGGTAAAAGTGTCACTTTCTGTGATTTCCAGCTGAACAGCGTTGTTGAGGAACACCCCCCCTTTATTATCAGCAAGAATATGTTGCGGCTGCACATTTCATATCAAGAAAAGATGGGGAGTCCGTGACTGCGTACTTCATTTGAACGTAGCGGCAGCTGCTTTTTTGGAGAGAGATGGCAGTTTCAGACCAGTTGCTTAGGAATGATTCGCTTTTACGAAAACGATCGGACACTTCGCAACCTATGGAAATAATTCGCGACAAGTATCCCTTGCCATGCTCAAGATATTGGCAGCCACGCCCACTCCATCCCGGTATGTGTGTGTATGTGCCGGTCAATAATTAGATATAGCTTGAATTGAGTGCCTGCTCCTGACTTTGCTGAGATTCCACGTGATGGGACTACTATGTATGATGCAGAACCTTCGCTGATCTCATCGCCGTCAGCAAAACTTAACAGTAGCAACGGCGCGATTAGCTTAAAGTTCTGTTCAGACACAATGCCATGATTCAATAAATGATGAACTTGCAGTACTAAGCTCAGCAGACTAACGCCGCATTCAACGGTATTACACAGCATCAGAACGTATTCGGATTTCTCCTGGATAACCATCGCCCAAAAGGCTTGCATTGTGCCAAGAAGCGGTCCCTCAAATTAAATTATCTGATCAAACGTTACTTCACTCGACCGATCCACAATGTTCTCCCTGCAATGGATTTGGGTGGAAATGTCGGACATGAAATGTGGTGAAGAGAATGACACCCTGCCTTATGAAGTGTCTCATCCAGTCACTCGGTTGGAGTAGCTTATCCTCGGACCACCGGCTCTTGTTGGCACGAATGTCAGGTGGCTTCCAATTCAAAGGAAGTGTGATTTTTGTGCAATCATGTGGGGGGGGGGCGTCAAATTCAAGCTTTTAATCAAATGGGATTTGAGAGCAGGAAGGTTCGGCTTACGGTGGAAGTAAGTTTAGTTAACATTATTGGGACTATGTGATGAGTACTTGACTAGGAACCTCATAAGGACCTGGCAGTATGTGCCTGCGTACCTAAAAGGGCCTCCACAACCACAGCCGAGTTTGCAGGTGTTACCAAGAGACCTGCCTGGTTAACGAGGCAAATGAACTAGCGGAACAGTCCAGGATGATCTGCCCATCCCCCCGTACCTCCTCCCGCCCTCGCCTCAAGATTCGGGCATCTACCTAGCATAGGTCAAGCGCAATATATTCATTGTGGAAATGTTCTACTTCAGTTTATCCCTTCAGTATTCTGGCCCCAAATTCGAAAGTGGGACAGCACAAGGGTAAATCAGTGCTGTTCTGAAAGAAGTTCAGGCCATTCATGTAACTATCCGGACAGGGAAAGGACTCTGGGCACGGTCAATCACGCATGTGACTCCCGGCCGTAGCTTGTGCCGGGGTGGCGGGAAAGCTGCCTGTTGACCGCCACCCCGGAGACCACCTCTTGGACCATCGGGCCCACGTTTTCGGCTAGTCTCCACTCCTGAGCTCAGTGTCGAACATACTCTTTGACTACTCTGCAGTAACTTGAATGTTATAAAGCCATCCATACCTTATATAATCCGCTATGTGTGTGCATGGTTGTGTGTGTGTGTGTGTGTGTGTGTGTGTGTCACGAAATTCATAGCGAGCGTCGCAGAAAAGATAGGATGACAGTTCCAAGAAGTGATATACATGGCAGGACGGGAACACTTGCCTTGGTGTTCAGGACGGTGATAACTCTTGATAAGATACGATAAGGGGCCGTAGAAGGGGAGGGTGACTGAATTCGTAGCGCAAGTTGCAGCAGGTGTGGGACCGTGATTTCAAGGAGTGATATACATGGCAGGACGGGAACACTTTTGATGGGTGACAGGAGGTGATGACACTTGATAAGATTCGATAAGGGGCCTTAGAAGGGGAGGGTGACCGAAATCGTAGCGCAATTTGCAGCAGCTGCAGGACCGTGATTTCAAGAAGTGATATACATGGCAGGACGGGGAAACACGTTTGGTGCCAGGGTGACAGCGAGGTGAGATCACTTGATAAAAGTTCCTATAGGGGGCCTTAGAAGGGGCGGGGGGTGACAAAAGCTCTTAGCGCAAGTTGCGAGCAGCTCGCCGAGGACCGTGCGTTTCAAAGAAGTTTGACGTATACATGGCAGCGACGAGGAACACTTTTCTGAGAGTGACAGGAATGGTTAACATTGATTAAAGATTCGATAAGTGGCTAAAGGGATGTGACGAGGATTCGTTGGCAAGCTCTGCAGCAACGGCAGGACCATTGATTTCAAGTACTGGTTATGCCGCCGATAGAAAGTCGCATACAAAGTGGATAGAGCATACGGTAAGCGGCTCGAAGGTGAGGCGGGCATCAGGATATCGTCAACGGCAGGTTACAGCGCAACAGTGCGAACCTCATGATCCGAGAGGCGGATTACAGGTTGTGATATGATAGTGATAGACGGTGAACGCGAGTGTTCATTGGTGGGTACGGAATGTGATAGGAGAGCTAAAGTGGACAATGGTAACATGGAAAATCCGGCCTTCACCGCTACACCAACAACAATGCGGATCATATATGATCTCAAACAATAACGATCTACTCATTCCAACAGACCATTCCTACGCTTGACTTACTTGTAACGACATCGGTACGACCGCTTAAGCCAGCTCTATTCCAAAGCATGTGCTTGGTTTCACAGAGATGTTGATGGCAGCAAGCACACTGAACTCTTATCAGCGTCTTTACCACAATTATCTTTCATCAGCACTTCAGTGAGCGGCCATTTTAAAGGCAGCTTCACTGGCTGAATGTGGGTAGTGCAATTTGCCAGAGCAAGACGCTTTAGGAAGACAGATTGCATAAATTATAGGCTGCTTCAGTGGCTGTCCAAACAGGCTGCACTATTTCCGTGTAGGTTATGAACGTACCAGTCGGATCGCTGGCTAAGGTAGGCTTTCCTCCTTCTGTTGATGCGGGGGGGGAGGGGGGAGGGCGCTGCTGCTGCTTCTGCGCCTTGACGGAACAAGCGCTGCTTTTCAGTTCTTGGCTGATGCAGAAGATTCCTTTGAACAGTGTGGTTGGTCAACGATCCTTAACTTAACACGCGGCAAATCCGCATGGTCCGGCGAAGCCGGGCCATGTCACAGAAGGAGGAGCGCCCGGCGACAGCCGGGCGATCCGACTGGTAGCAAATAAAATGATAACTTATGTTGCTTATGCAGATACCTGAGTACAATGAAATTGCATGATCTTTGCTGAGGTTATGGTGTGCTCACATAATTTGATATAGTCGTTATCGATTCCGGGCCATTTAAGAATAACACGACGAAAATCTTGACAAGGCACGTCAACATACCTGCAGACATGAGCTTAACACTTCCATAGAATAATGCTAAAGGAGGGTTGCATGGAGGTGCTCCTGCAGACCTAAGCTTTAGCACGGAGCCACCTCCTTTGCACCAGTCGTTACAACTACACTCCTTATCCCTGAGACGGAGTAGGCGTGGCATTTCGACATAGCATAAGTTGGATTACGCGTGGGATACTTCAGCTCGAGGCAGCTGTCATCTTCTTCTGTGTTGGACGAAGGCATGACCACAATTGTATCAAAATGAAAATATCTCACTGAAGGCACAGCCACCGCCACGTTTGGTTGAAGTACGCAGCCACGCCTACCGCATCTCAGGGATTTCGAGGGTATGTGGCGGAAAACTTTTGACGGAGAAGGCTAACGCCGAGCCAAACTGTGTGCGTCGAAACAGATTCAAAAGCGCTTCTGACCATTGTACAGCTCTTTCTGCCTTTTCTTTACAAACCTACGATGAGGGGGATGTTCAGCTGTTTCACCCCTCACGGAGCTGTACAAGTTCACAACTCTTCCGAAAATTATGGTTCACCCCCACCTACCTCTTCGAGCTAATCGTGGCTACTGCCTTGAATGAGTATTCGCCTCTAGGAGCGCCTCTAAGAAAACGCCTTGCATGGTCCCTTTACCGACCCCTCTCCCCCCCCCTTGCTTGGGTGCAGCGCCGGAATGGATGAACGGGTCTTTGGGCAATATCCCAAAGTTCCTCCTCCGGTCCATGTACTTTCACAACCTCGGTGCTTAAAGCCATGCGCCTAGTCAAAGCCAAACGCACTACTTTTTCAGCGCACTCTGATTTCTCGTTGTTTTCTACCTCCGACTGTGTATTGTCTGCGGGTGCTGGTACCTTCGCAAATGCCGCATTCCAGGATAGCCCACACAGAGCTAGGCAACGACATCTATGCACGCCCTCTTTGGCCCCGGCCACGTGACATGCCACTGCTGTTGCAGACCCGTTCGCCATGATGGAGCAACCTCGGAGGTAAGCGTACAGGTCTTCGATGAACTGTTTTTCGAACTGCCGTGATTATGATTCACATTGTGGCTGATAATAGTGAAAAACCTGTACCTATTAAGTGGACGATTTTCCGAAAAAGCCTTTGCGGTCATCCCTTCTGGCATCCATCTGCGTAAGTCGCGGAACTCGTGCACCAAATTCGGTGCACCCATATCAAGCACTCGATTTACCCATATGCTTACCTGGAACGGATTATCATGAATCAAGCTATTCTCTATTACAAGTACCACTACCACAAAAATAACCCTTCGTAACAGGAGTCATATCCGTTTGGCAAGCGGGGGGAGCGCATATGGGTGAGGGGATGGGTTGTTGTTTTGCAAAGATTTTCAACAGCGCGATGCCCTGACGACAAAACCCAAGGATGTTCTAGGTTCTACGAAGCTGACTGGGTATTACCATCTTCAAGGCTGAGCTCAGGGAGAAAAGCCAGACTAATGAGTATGACATTGTATCCATCACAAAAAAAAGTGGAAGGGGTGTAGGCTTTCGGATTACTTTGTTTGGTTCCACTCTCGCGGTAAAAAGTTGAACAGGGTTACCGAATCGGCGAGGGTGAGGAGACGGTCTCAAACCCGCCACCCCCGCCTGTTCTTCTCCTGCTACAGCACCTCTCACGACTTTCCTCCACATTGTAAGATGATCTCCAACTCCCTAGCAACCTTCCAGACGTTTACCAGTTTTTCCCGTAAAAGTTGCGTCGAACGGGAGGGAAGTCCATCTCAGACATCTCTAAGAGTACTGAAAATCCTTCCTGAGGAATCAGAATATTTCCTTATAAGACCACCATACCCTCCCCACCATCAGCTGCCGACGGTCGGACGTTTGCAAGTGAAGGGAGTAGTTGCACAGGGATCACTGTACTTTTTACCACCCCGTCAACTTGCATAAAATCCCATACGTACAAGGACCGCCCATAAAAGTGAACTTGAACTCAAGCAGTAAAGCTAATCAAGAAACGTCCAGGCAATTCAGAGTTTTACAAGGAGGTACCTGCCACCAAACCACACCTGTTGCAATATTTGCTGCCTGTTTTTGGAATTCTTGAAGCTACTTTGAGGAGGTTCTTTGAACCGCAGTGAGGCTGGAACTCCTCTGCCTTCACCCTGATTGTCTTCAACATCTGTGCCTGAAAGATCGGAATCTCGAAGGTGTGCTGATGTGAGTAGAATCAGAATGTTTCAACCCGCAGGATCTGGGCAAGTCGTCCAACGGGCTCCCGAGGTGTGAAATTCACTAATCAAAAATCCCGTTCACATTATTGATCACGTGTTCACGTAGTGCTGAGAATGCCAGACTTTCACCTTTCCAGTTCAAGTTAAAGCGGAGGCCCAACGTCCCGCACCCACTTTACATATCCACTCCCCCCAGTGAATGAGAGAACAGATGTGGAACACTCTTACCATTCCTCATTTGCTGTAGCATTGCAGCAGCTGCTCCCTGTCCACCTGTATTCTTGCTGAAAGGACCATCGCCCTGCTTTCCCTTACGTTTAAAGCTATCATTTGCCTGATCCAACCGTTCGTTCCTGAAAAAACTCACAACAGTGGTGATGCGCCCAAAAAGCTCTCATTATATCACAAGCTCTTTGCTCTCGAGGTTTTTGCCGCTCATCTTTGGAACCAGTATCATAGAAAAGCTCGGGTCGAAGCTACATGGCGTGACTCGAAGTGACAAGTGGAGGTAAGTCGCGGCAGGCGGTGACTCGAAGTGACAAGTGGAGGTAAGTCGCGGACCACCAAACCCTGCAGTTACACACTACGTGCCCAGAGATCATCGAGGAGATGGAGGGGGCGTTGCTGCATACCTCAAGAGAACGTGGTGGTGGAAGCGCTTGTGGCAGGGCATTGCCATTTAGGCGCAGACTTCAGCTCTTTGTTCCTGACAGAAGAGATCGCGGTTTTCTTCAGTGGGAATATCCCAAAAAAACATACCGTATGCCATGTTTACGCAACTAGGTTCTAACATGGTTTAGGTTGCTCAGAAGACGACTTTCGGGATCTCTTCTGCTGAGTAAATCAAGATCCCCTTTCTTACTGTCATGCTCATTCACGGGAAAGTGAAGCCGTGAGGTTGTGCTACTCCCACTTTGCCAATGTTCCTGACTGTTTGATCGGTACTTCTCAAACTCGAGAAGCGTTATAATCCGTAGGTGCTCTTTCTACCTTCCACCTTTCTGATCACCACCTAACTGGAAATTCATAGTTCAAGCTACGCGTGGATCGAAATGAAGTGACTTTCTCTCCCTAGTGTATCACAGAATAGATCATTACACGTCATGTTTTCTGGGGCGTGCCAGGAGATGAGTTTGGGGCGCGCCAATATCGTTGTCCTAGTTGTTGAAGCGAGCAAGCAACTGTCATACGCAGACACTATCATACGCTCGTATCATTTTCGACCCACTGTTGTCGCTTACCCTCTTCAAGGTGGAAAACGAGCTGGTGGCGGGCAAAACCGGCGTCAGTGACAGCCCCTTCATGATACCAGGATATCTGCCAACAGCAAGGCCTTCCCATTCTTCCTTCCTGCCCTTTTTCGTCCTCTTCCTTCCTCCTGTCTTCTTTCTCTCATATTTCCTCCCTCAGAAAGCTGAGCTAGAAGAAGTGACGGAAAATACCTCGGCACCGTCACAGGCGAGCATCCGGGGACAGATGCCTTGTAACCGCCCAGTCAGGCGTCAGGCGGGTATGTGACAAGAGAATCGTAATTCACCGCGCTGGTGGGCGTCGCGTGCGACGTCGCACCGCAAATGACGATGGTTCCAGGTAGTAGATGGCGACAACAGGCAATTCAGAACCGAAAATAGTTATAAATACAATGGCGGGCCCACATGAAGTCCGGTGCCCTAGATGGCA